AGAAGTAAGTGATGCACAAGAATTATTACGCATTCTAGAAGTGTATCAACGAGCCTCAGGGCAAGTCATCAACAAAGATAAATCATATATAATGTTTAGTCCAAATACAAGCGAGCATGTGAGGATTCAAATGAAATCTATTCTGTCAATTGATCTTGAAGCTAGAGGTGAAAAGTACTTGGGTCTTCCAGTGTCAGTTGGAATATCAAGGAAAAAGACTTTTGAGTATATTAAAAAGAAATTATGGAGTAGAATTCAAGGCTGGCAAGAAAAACTCCTTTCCAAGGCCGGAAAAGAGATACTAGTAAAAGCTGTTGCACAGTCCATTCCTACTTATGCTATGTCATGTTTCGATCTTACAAAAGGCCTTCGTGATGAATTGAGCATGATGATTGCAAGGTACCGGTGGAGCCAGCAGGATAAAATTAATAAAATCCATTGGCTAAGTTGGGAAAACCTTACCAAATCAAAGAAAAATGGAGGCCTTGGTTTTAGAGATTTACATCTATTCAATATGGCTATGCTATGCAGACAAGCGTGGAGACTAATCACTAATCCAGACACGCTGTGTGGGCAAGTTCTCAAGGCAAAATATTTTCCACGAAGTGATATTCTTTCAGTGTGTTCCACAGGCGGGAATTTCATACACATGGAGGAGCATCTTAAAAGGAGCAGAGCTGCTGAAGGAAGGGTTAATTTGGCGTATTGGGAATGGAGAAAGAGTGAGAATATGGGAAGATCCTTGGCTGCCCAGGGGCACAACAAGAATGCCAGTAACACCTAGACGAACATCTCTATTAACCGAAGTAAATGAGCTTATTAGTCCAATAACTGGTGACTGGGATGTAAAATTGGTACAGGATACCTTTTGGCCATGTGATGCAGAAGAGATACCTAGAATTCCTATTGATGTCGACATGGATGACTGGCCTGCTTGGCATTTTGATGCAAAAGGCATTTTCACTGTGAAATCTGCATATAAAATTGCAGTGGCTAGAAGGGAGGCTCTTGCTGGGAGGGATGGTTCCACATCGGATGGGACTGAGTTTCAGTGGAATAAGTTATGGCAACTTAAAGTTCCTAATAAAGTTCAGATGTTTCTATGGAGGTTTGCTCATAATAGTCTCCCAGTGAGAAGAAATCTTGCTCGTCGAGGGATCAAACTTGATACATTGTGTCCAGTTTGCAAAAGATTAGATGAAGATTGTGGACATATTTTCTTCAAATGTAAGAAAGTGAAGCAATGCTGGCGTCTTATGAGTATGGAAGGGATCAGATCTCAATTAGAGGGTTGTCCAACAGGAAGGATACAATTAACAAGATCTGGTCCTTTGCAAAAGATGACCAACTTAAGGTGGTGGTGCTATTGTGGAGGTGGTGGTCAGCAAGAAATAATTCCAATGACTACGGAAAAATAGTAAATGCGGCTGAAATACAAAGTTCAACTCTATTTTATCTTTCAGAATTTAAGAAACTGAATACAACAAGCAAACATGTGGCTGCGGATGTTAAAAGCTCTTGGAAGACACCTCCTGATGATACATACAAAGTAAATGTTGATGGCGCATTTCACTCAGATTCTAGAACAGGAGGATGGGGTTTTGTTATAAGGGATACAAATGGAGAGGTGCTTGCATCTGGAGCTGGAAATATCTCCTTCGCAGCATCAGCTATTCATACTGAAGCAATTGCCGCTTACAAGGGTCTCCAACATGCAGCACAATTGGGTATGGCGAAAATCATTTTGGAGACAGATGCAACTGTTCTTGCGGATGCTATGAACTCTATGTCGATTGATCGAAGCTCCATTGGTTGTATTATTAGACAAATGAGAGACTTTATGCAATTTGAGTTCTCTTCATGTACTGTCTCTGTTTGTAATAGAAACTGTAATAAAGTAGCAGACAGCCTAGCAACTTATGGAGCGTCTGTCCTTGATTCTGGCTCTTCTGTGTTAATGAGCCAAGTCCCTGAGTTTGTATCTGTACTGGTATCTGGCGATTTGCCTGGATGTGATGTGTAATTTATCTGAGTTTTCAAAAAAAAAAAAACAAGATGAAGCCCCTGTGTTTTTGCCACAAAGGATATATATGGCCAACACCCAACAGCAACATGTGATACTACAGCATACATGATGGCGAGCATCAGTCATCGGCGCAACCGCATGCATACATGCAGGTCAGTCGCAAATCATCCATGTGGACGTGGACGGACAGCTAGCTGGCCTCAGATTAATGAAGGCAAGCTTGGCTTTTCTGTCAAGGGAAAATCAATGCCTGAATCCTGATGATGACAGATACAATGACACTCTACCCTTGTGTTAACTTATCGCGGCAAACTCATTGTTATGGCATCGCCGCGCTCAATATGATGGCAACTTGTTGGCAAGTGCGGGATCAAAGCTAGGATGGTACAATCGTACGCTACGTGATCTCGCACAATACAACCACCGGATCAGATCAGTGTTGTTCACCATGTCTGTTCGATTTTATATACTGCATCGCAACTAAGCATCTTTAACAGCTACATTGCCGCCTGAAGCGTACTGTATTTGTTTGGTCTTATATAACCATTAAATTACGACTAAGATTACAACAGAGGGAACAAAATGGACACAGTCACATGAGAAGGCCCTGGTTTGGCTAGTAAAGAACACAGTTAAAACAGGAGAGTTCTACTAATAAAAAGTTAAATATAGCTTGATGCACATGCATGATTAAATTGGATTTCATAGACAAAAACATATCAATTATTCAAATTCAAAGCAGCTAGTGTACACAGAAAATGTCTAGAGAAATAATTCTAGAAAATACAAAACAATACTTTAACAATGACAATAATTGACCTAACAAATACCAGATGAAGCAATAATCAATTTTAAGTTTCAGATGATAAGTCTCTCAAGTTATTAGGAGGTGTGTGTATGTTCGGGTCTATGTACGACTCTTTCTTCTCCTTTCAATGAAATGATACGCAACTCTCCTGCGTGTTCCAGAAAAAATAATCAATTTTAAATATACCGCCCCTAAACAATACATTGATAGGATTTAAACCTAAACGAAATCCAAGCCAAACTCATAATCTCAGCTTAGCCAAAGTAGACCTGATCAAATGCCGAGTCGGGTTAGAAAAGTGTTGCGCAAATGTCTTTGGCCCGAGTTTGACCCGACGCACTGACAAGTTGGGCTATTTCTCGAGTTTTCACACTTTGGGTCGGTTTTTTTTTGGATTGGGTTAGGTCATGGACCGAAAATCATAACCTAAATCCGACCACACGCATTATTCGGATTTGGTTTTGAACCAGGAAAAATTCATGCGTCATGGTTCAAATTCACAAAATAGCATGGTTTCTTAAACCTAAATTTCAATGGCACATCAGATGAAGCATATTTTTTAGCAAGGACCGCATTTTTTATGTTTGTGGTTTTGACTTTAGATACAAGGGATGATAATTCATCAAGCCAAATCTTAAAATTATGCGAACTCACTTGCTAGTTGCAAAGAAATTTGATGAAGCAAACAGAAAAGGCACATAATAATAAACAATGAGGTAAGATGCAGACAAAAACCTCAACCACGAGTAGGCTTGCTAACATGGTGGGTAAAAAGTGGGTTTTATGGGTTAGGTTCGAATATGAGCTGAGGTTAGTTTGGATGAGTGGGAACATGTTTTATGAACTTATAGGTTAGAGCGGGTAGGGTCAATTGCATGCGTGGATTAGGATGAAATGGAATGGTGTGGATGCGTATTGCTAGAGACGTGGGTCGCCCTTTGCTCCTGACCCTAGCAGGTCGTAGATTCATCGAGTCGGTCGAGAACTTAGATGCTCGTAAATGTGGCCAAACCCGTATACATTGGGTTGAGGCGCTGACCTAGCCGAAAGAAGTGTTTCTTCTTAGATGGGAAGTAGATGAGTGACTTTCGTGTTTTATTCTACTGAATTCCAAGAACGACAATGACAGTTGCAGTACACGGAATAAGAAAACTGGCATGGAGGACATCAGTGGCAGAGCTAGGAGCAATTCTTAGGGGGGGGGGCAATTTGCCTTATGAAGATCAACATGTAACCAAATGCTAGAGCAATTAGGCACTACTTAAAAAAATTGCAAATCATATGATTGAAATTAGGGCTTATTAGCATCTCAAAAAAAAGTAGCAACCGGTTTGGATTGAGTACAAGTTACCATTCAAATAGATAGATCTCGTATAACCTCTACCATCTAGCCTTGTTGATTAGCCATCAAGAGTTTAAAAACTAGAAAAGAATATAGAAAGAATGAAACAATCGGCAAGGCTAGAGGGATATCTGCATGGTGAGATTATTCAAAAGGTCAAATAAGAGTTATCAGAGGCTTGATGCAGGTGGTAAGAAGCGCGAAGCAAGTAACAAAAGTAGGAAATACATATGTTGTGATGTAGATATAGGCTTTCTAGACTTCAGCAGGGAGGGGGGGCATTGTCCACTTTGGCTGTGCTATAGCTCCGCCAGTGGATGACATCTCCATCAACTTGTTCAAAAAATTGCTACTAATCTATTTAGACATAAGACCTGGGGCTCTACGTCACGTGCTTTAATTGTCTACCAGATCTCGGTTAGTTAAGTTCTATACCATATATGCATACGGCGCTGAAACATTTACCTCACGCGTTGCTTATCTTGGTGCCAAGCTTAAATCTATTTTTACAAATGATTTTCTAGAATTCTAAAATGTGAAATTCTTATGGAGAGATGGCTAAAAACAAAATTCGGACGAAACCACCTCGGAGACTGGCATTCGAAAAACCGCGTAAACGACAAAAGAAAATATTTCTTTCGAAAAAAAACTCGAATTCTGCGAACACACGCTCCTCTCCTTGGAGGCACCCCGACATCACCTCACCCCACCACGACCTCCGTCCTTGAAGTTGAAGCCGTCAGCACAGCACCCAAACCTCGTCTCTCCTCTCCCGACTCCGGCGCCTCCATTCCGTCGCTGCCGGAGGCGTGCTCGATCCGGCCATGGATGACTCTGTCCTTTTCAATGACCTCGGTCCCTCTAAGCCCCCGTCGGCCTCTTTCTACGACGATATGTTCGACTCCTACTTCAACGACGCGGACGAGGCCCCCGAGCCCTCGCCTAAGGCTTCTTCCTCGCCGTCGACGCCGCCGCCCGTGTTCGACAAGCCGGTCTTCGACGACGATCCTGACACGGCCGATCCATTCGACGCGATCCCCTTGTTTGGAGGCGGCGGTGGCGGGGAAGGGGAGGACTTCCTCGGTGGCGTCGGGAGCGCGGCAAAGCCGGAGAGGAGGGAGTCGGAGGCGGTGGGTTTTGATGAAGACTTGCTCCCTGGGTTGGTGGGAGCACCAATTCGACGGAGGAGCCGGTCAGGGAGGTGGAGCGGGACCGTCAGCCGGTGGGGTTCGACGATGATTTGGTCCCTGGATTTGATAGGAGCATGAAGCCGGCGCCGCAAATGGAGCCTGTGGCGTTTGATGATGGTGTGATCCCTGACATTGGTGGAGGCACGAGCCATCCCTATTCGGCAAGGTCTGAGAGTCTTCTAATTCAAAATTTCCATTTAGTTTGCATTTATCTATGTATTTTCTGCATACTTGATTTATTATTTAGAAGGTGAGCTTGGATGGGTTATGGGTAAGGTTTTAGCTGTGTTGTTACAACCATCGAATTGACAAATTATGCTCCATCCTGGGTAAGCTAGATTCTGGAAATGAAGTCCTGTCCAAGTTTTTAAAAGTTTTGGACTTTTGGTGCTTAGATTCTGGGTCTTTTGATGCAATGCCACAGAAGCATAATTCAAACAGCAGGAAAGAATGGGGAAAGTAAGCCATAGTGACGTGGATGAAAGATTTCAAGTGAATAACTGCAAGAGAAAACATGAAAACTTGTAGTTGAACCACTGCTCCCCTTCCCCCCCAACCCTGTTCCTCTGCACGCACGATGGGTAAAGATATAGCCTTGTTCGCTTGAACTTATCAGCCTGGCTTGTCAGCCATAGTGTAATGTTTTTCTCTCACAACAAATCAGCGAACAATACTTTTCAGCCTGGCTTTTCAGTATGTTCATTTAATAGCGCTGATTTCGGAAACAGTTAGAGAGATTCTGTGTTGAATTTGTCCACTTGTTTGAGGGTTTGTTTGCTGATATGTTCTCTTGACGTTGACTTGATATTTATTGTTTTCTAATATAATTTCTAGGCATCTTACATTTTCAGAACTTTTGGGAACATTATGAGTTCTGGCTTTTGCATGCCACTCTTCCTTTTGCAGTAGCGAGCGTTCTTGTTCTAGTTCCTATGATAAATTGAATCTAGGCTAATCACTTGGGACTCTGAACTGACGTGTCATATTTCTTCCATTATATCCATTATTAGATCCATATTGGTTGTTTGGATGCTTTGTTCACCATTAAAGATGATTTTGTCTATGACAATGCAAGATCTTCAAATGTCTGTGCCTTATGGTCGGATCATACTTTATTTGAAGAAGTTGCAGGTGCAATTTAGTGCATAGCAGAAAATTGTATGTGGCATCCTGTATCTAACTAGAAGTTGGAACTCGAGGAAAACTGGTTATTCAGGCCACGTGTCCTATCGTTGCTCATTAGCTACCTTTTATAGCAATGAACCCTTCGTATGATATTGTATTTTACTTGCCTGTTTTATTGCTGGTTTGGAAGTGAGTAGTTCACTAAATGCATCATAACTTCATGATTGTGCTAATGCAAGTTCACTTTCAATTACTTTCCTATCTGGTTTTCCCCTTCTGGTGGTTCCTGAGAGCTACGTTGTCGATAAGTGTTGTGTTGTGTTGACCTGTCTAAATTCTATCACTTTGATTTTAATCATTGACAGCATATATGACTGCTTGTGGGAACTGTTAAGAATCAAATGCAATATAGTTGTCTTTGTGATAACCATATGAGTTATTCTTCTCTTGTTTGGTGATCAGTTGTGACTGAAATATATACAGGGAGGAACCTATAATAAGGCAAGAAAGTGAATCAATTTCATCCAGCAAAATGAGTAGCACGCGAGAAGATCCTTTCGTCATTTTAGGTGGTACACACAGATCGGGATATTCATCTTTTGGATTGTTTTCAGATCCTTTGAATAACATCGGCATGCCTGTGAAGGAAGGGAACACAAAAGTTGATGCGCCTGATAATACCAGTGGGATATTTCAGGGGTCTGATATCTTTACTGACTTTCCAAAAGCCATGCCACCCTTTTCGTTTACATCTGAAAACCAGAGTGATATAAATGAAAGGAGATATGCTGAAAACATAAATAGCATGAGTCTCTCTGATCGGGTGCCTCAGGAGAAGCCAGTCCAACAAGCTTCAACAGAAGCACCTGACAATAAATTGTTTGAGATGAACTTCCCTGAAGCATCTGTTATCCGTGAAGTACCTGTTACCACTGGTTTTCAGACATTAAACCCATTTGCTGGGGAAGACGATTTGTTAGAGGCAAATCAATCTTCACAGAGGCCTAATGATGTGTGGGTAACTGTTTCTGATATTGCTCTAGTGACACTACCTACAAGTGCACCGCCTCCTTCACGGCCGCCACCTCCACTTGCTGCTAAGAAACCACCTACTGAATCTGTAAATCGTAATCAAGGCTACCATCACTCCGCATGTTCAAACACTTCTAAAACATCCCAAATTGATGAATTGGAAGATTTTTTCATGGCAAAGCCTGCTAATTTTGCCAATGGTCATCCACAAGTTCTAAAGCATGAAGGAAACGGGCATTATCCATCTGCAGCTACTGCAAGTTTCATGGACTGGACTGAGATGGGACACTCTAAAGGGGGGAACCAAGGGGCATTTGATTCTATGTTCACCAGCAATCAATATAGACAGCCAGAAATAGATGAGAAAGCAGAAGTATGTGCTCATGAAATGGAAACCACAGATGAAGAAGAGAGATTAGAAAATGAACGAATACAAAGAGAACATAAAGAGGAGCAAAGAAGAGCAGAAAGGGAGAGGGAAGAACAGCTTGAGAGGGAAAGGGAAAAGGTGAGACAAAGGGAACAAGAGGAGCAGAGGAGGCGTGAAAAAGAGAGGGAGGCCAGGCAAGCTGTAGATAAGGCTGTACGGGAGGCACGTGAAAGAGCAGCTGCTGAAGCACGCATGCGAGCTGAGAAGGAGGCTCGTCAAAGAGCAGAGCGAGCTGCCGTATGGAAAGCAACAACAGAAGCTCGTGAGAGAGCTGCAGTCGAGGCAAGGGAAAGAGCTGCAAAGGCTGCTGCAGAAGCTAAGGAAAGAGAAGCAGCAGAGGCTAGAGAAAGGGCTGCAGTAGAATCAAGGGAAAGGGATGCCAAAATTGCTGCAGAAGCAAAGGAAAGAGCTGCCAGGGCTGCTGCTGAAGCTAGAGAAAAGGAAGCAGCAGAATTTCAGGAGAAAGCTGCTGCAGAAGCTCGGGCAAAAGCTGAGCGAGCTGCTGTTGAGAAAGCTGCAGCAGAAGCACGAAGGAGGGCTGAAAGAGCAGCTTTCGAGAGGGTTGCTGCTGAAGCTCGGCAAAGGGCTGCTAATGAAGCTAGAGAAAGGGCTGCAGCTGAAGCACGGGCAAGAGAAAATCAGCAAAGGAGAGCAACAGCAGAACCTGATCTCGAGTCATTCTTTGGCATGCCTTCTAGATCAAGCAGTGTACCGAGATCATACAACAACACAACAACGGTGAGAACTGAGCAACTGCATGAGTTATTTTGTAGGGAAATTTTCCGTTTAACTTTGTTTTCTCTGATACTTTTAAAATTTTCAGAATCCTTTCGATGTTCAGCCTCATGGCAATGCTGATTCTGGTGGTGTAAGGACATCTTCCAGTTCAGCTTCTTCCTTTACTCAGCCTTCGTCAAGCAATCTTATGGATGGCCTATCTTCTATATTTGGAGGTACTATTTAGTATTTGAATGCTATTATTATTATTAGCAGTGTTTCTGAGCTATCTTAGAAACTAATTTACGCAAATCAATTATAGCACATGTTGATTAAAGATGCCAATCAATGTTTCTAGTCGTGGAGATAGGGGTGGTCACAACTCAGGCTCTCTACAGCGTTTAAAACTAATGTTTTTTTAGTACAGAAGACTACCTTAGCATACTTTGAGTGTATGAAGCACTAACCTTGTTTAATATTTTTCATATATAGCACCTTCATCATCTGCTGTATTTCAAGAAGTGGATGGAGAGAGTGAAGAAAGAAGGAAGGCAAGACTGGAACGACACCAAAGAACGATGGGGCGTGCGGTATGCTAACTTATAATCAATTTGCAACCACCTGTCATTTAGTAATTATAAAAGTAACATATTGATTTCAAAAGGCAACTATATCTGTTCATATGATATTTTTCAGGCAAAAGCTCTTGCTGAGAAGAATGAGCGTGACTTGCAAGCTCAGCGGGAGCAGGAAGAGCGACATGTAAGCTCTATATCTTATCATAACGATTCTGGACTTTAAGTAGATAAATGAATTAGACAGTTTGTTTTTTTGAGGTAATGTGGTTTCTCTTTTCAGAGAATTGGTGAATCACTTGATTTTGAGATAAAGAGGTGGGCTGCTGGCAAAGAAGGCAACCTACGGGCCTTACTATCAACATTACAATATGTTAGTACCCTGTTTCCAGTGTAGATATATGATTTTGTGCCCCTTTTTCCTTGGAAATATGTTTTCTGATTGCAGTCGCTGCATGTTTGATGGGATCTTGCCTAACTTAAATGGGGTGTTAGTGCTCATTAGGGAGAAATTACACCTTTGGTGTTTGGCTGGGGCTCGTGGAGTTTCTCATCTCCTTGCCCTTGCACCAAGTGACAATTTCTCTTATATATAATGATACCCAGCTCTCCTGTGTGTTTGAGAAAAAAGGCTCCTTGCCATATCTGTTGTTAAGTTCCAGTACTTATTTTCTTTGCAATAAAGGCACTTATGGAAATATTGTTATTGTCAGTTTAAACTTTTGGGCACATGGAATTTGAGGTAATGTATACTAGGAGATAGTTAATATATGCTTTTAGTAGTAGACCCTTAGTAGGGTTGACCGTATCCCCCCCCCAAATTGTTCAAATGATCACCGCAAATCAGGCCAGTGGCCTGGTGAATATGATCCTGGGTGTCAAATGTAGGGATGGCAGTGGGTCGGGTAAGGTGTGGGTGGAATAAATACCTGCCCACGATAAATTGCCTATCAAGTAAAATTTCATACCCGTGGATAAAATTTTGTACCTGCACCCGTCGAGTACGATACCCGCCGGTATCCGCACCCGCAAGCTTGATTATCACTAGAATTGGAATTCTTTGTATTTTTAGCACTAATGGATGAAGTGACATACCCGCACATATCCGTGGGTAGAATCTTGTACCTGTACCCGTGGGTAGATTTTGTACCCACACCCACACACATCGGTAACGATACCTGCGGGTAGGATTGGCCATCCCTACAAATGCCTTTGCGAAACTTTTCAAATTGGTTTTGAACGTCCCTAGCTCATACTCCCTCCATTTTAAGATATAATGGAGTGAAGCCTTTTATTTTGCATATGCATTAAGAAGGTGAAGATCTGGAAGAGAGAGAGAAGGCTATATAGACTATGCTACCATACTAATAGACATGTCTACAACAACAACAACATAGTCTGTCAGTCCTAAGCAAGTTGGGGTAGGCTAGAGTTGAATCCCACCAAGAGCTCCTGGTCACGGTTGAGGCACTTCAATAGTTGCTTTCCAAGCACTCTTATTCAAACATAGATCTCTAAGTATATCCCAAGCTTTCAAATCTCTTTTTTATTGCCTCCACCCATGTCAATTTCGGTCTTCCTCTACCTCTCCTCACATTATTAGCTTGTGTGGGGGTATGGCCCCCGGTATCCTCAAGACAAGACATGGGCCGCACCATCAGAGATGGCCCGGCCCATAAGATCGAGGCGTGCACGGCAAGATTACAAGTTGTACTAGATATTGTAATAGTACCAAATAGGATATTTTACTTGTAACTCTCCTCCTCCAGACTATATAAGGAGAGGCAGGGGACCCCCTCAGGGGACAATCCATCTAGATCATACAGATCATAACAGATCTCACCTCAATCAATACAAATAACAGAGCACAGGACGTAGGGTTTTACGCCACACTGGCGGCCTGAACCTGTATAAATCTTGTGTCTTGTGTCTCTGTAACCATCTGGTTCCTGATTACGCGCATCCTACCGATAACCTACCACCACGGGCACCCCCCTCGGTGGACTGTCGACCATATTTCGTCGACAGCTTGTCTTAGGACTCCACAATGCACTGGTGCCTCTGAAGGTCTCCTTTGGACATGGCCAAACCACCTCAACCGATGTTGGACAAGTTTTTCTTCAATTGATGCTACTCCTAGGCGATCACGTATGTCATCGTTCCGAACTCTGGTCCATTCCTGTGTGACCACAAATCCATCGCAACATACACATTTCTATAGCACTCAGTTGTTGAGCATGTCGAATCTTTGTAGGCCAACATTATGCTCCATAGAACATAGCCGGTCCAATCACCATTCTATAAAACTTGCATTTTATCTTTTGTGGTACCCTCTTGTCACAAAGAATGCCAGAAACTTGTCGTCACTTGATCCACCCTGTTTTGATTCTATGCCTAACGTCCACATCAATATCTTCATCTCTCTGTAGCATCGATCCCAGATAACGAAAGTTATCCTTAGGCACTACTTGACCTTCCAAACTCACATCTCCCTCCTCCTGTGCAGCTCCGTCAAAGTCACATCTCATGTATTTGGTTTTAGTTCTGCTTAATCTAAAACCTTTAGACTCAAGGGTCTGCCGCCACAACTTTAGTTTCCTATTTACTCCCGCCTGGCTTTCGTCCACTAACACTACATCATCAGCGAACAACATACACCAAGGGATATCCCCATGTATATTTCTGGTAACCTCATCCATTACCAGGCAAAGAGATACGGGCTTAAGGCTAACCCTTGATGAAGTCCTATTTTAATCGGGAAGTAATCTGTGTTACCATCATTTGTTCGAACACTAGTCACAGCATTGTTGTCTATGTCCTTGATGAGGGTCACGTACTTTGATGGTACTTTATGTTTGTCCAAAGCCCACCACATAACATTTCTTGGTATCTTGTCATAATCCTTCTCCAAGTCAATGAAAACCATGTGTAGGTCCTTCTTCTGCTCTCTGAACCGCTCCATAACTTGTGTTATTAGAAAGATTGCTTCTGTGATTGACCTTCCGGGCATGAAACCAAATTGGTTCATAGATATCTGCGTTGTTCCTCGCAGGCGCTGCTCAATGACTCTCCCATAGCTTCGTAGTGTGGCTCATCAACTTAATTCACTGATAATTAGTACAACTTTGGATGTCTCCCTTGTTCTTATAGATTGGTACCAATATGCTTCTTCTCCACTCCTCAGGCATCTTGTTCGATCGAAAGATATTGTTGAACATCTTGGTTAGCCATACTATAGCTATAGCCCCGAGACATCTCCACATCTTGATTGGGATACCATCAGGGTCCATTGCTTTGCCCCCTTTCATCCTTTTCAAGGCTTCTCTGATCTCCGATTCTTGAATCCTCCGCACAAAGCGCCTATTAGTGTCATCAAACGAGTCGTATAGCTGAACGGTGGTGTTCTCGTTCTCACCATTGAACAGTTTATCAAAATACTCTTGCCATTAATGTCTGATCTCATCCTCCTTCACCAAGAGCTGCTCCCTCTCATCCTTTATGCACCGATAGACATGTCTAATAGCTAAAATTTCTCTGATGTCTGGCTTGGCAGGGGGTAATAAGTGTGCAGCTTGGTTACTCCTAGAATCACTACCAAGGCAAAACTGGATGCCCCTTTAGATAGCATCATCCATGATTGAACTCTGCTGAAATACTTTGTGTTTGTGGCCGATTTTAAATCATCATGTTTTCATGTGACTGTTGAGAATTCCCACAGTAAAAGGTGTACTGAAATTTTAATTACAGAAATAAAATGCAAGTGTGGCCATGCTGTTGTTAGGTTATATATACATCTCTTGGTTAGTAAGGTGAGAATTAGTCTGCATAAGAATGTATTGTCAGTCTGTAGTATCATGTCTATTGGACCCAAGCATTATATATTATTCTGAATGGAAGACTACATCGATGGCTTCACTATCTCCTAGTGAATAGAGAACACCAATCGAATCTTTTGCAGATACTCCGTCAATCCCCGGAACTAGTCAAGATAGGGTTTAGAAAGATGGAAGCAATCAATTTGACGTCTAGATGTTTCATTCGTTTTCTCATGAATATACTGTGCATGACTAAAATTAGTATAATGTAGCATAAATTAATCATTGTGCCTACAGTATAGAAAATAGCTGGTTAAGTAAGTCTAATAAACGAAGTGATGATATGATGTTCACTGTGAGGATGATTTCAAAATAATTGTCTCATGGGCAGGATGTTGTCGAAGGGCGGGCCTGGTGCAAGCGGTAGAGTCTTACCGCCTGTGACCGGAAGGTCCCGGGTTCAAGTCGTAGTCTCCTCGCATTGCACAGGCGAGGGTAAGGCTTGCCACTGACACCCTTCCCTAGACCCCGCACAGAGCGGGAGCTCTCTGCACTGGGTATGCCCTTTATGGGCATGATGTTGTTTCGGTTGCAACCTTTTGTATTTTATACATTGTGCTACAAAATCTCTTTTTGTTTTATATTTTGGAAAGATGCTTAAGTATGGCTATTGAGTGCTAGAAAATTAGATTTTCTATCCTTTTGTTCTTCTCTAATTGCTATACTAATGCTTCTTGTTTAATTGTGCAGATTCTTTGGCCGGAATGTGGTTGGCGACCTATATCATTGACTGATCTGATTACAGCAGCATCTGTGAAGAAAGAATACAGGAAAGCAACATTGTGCATCCATCCTGATAAAGTGCAGCAGAAGGGGGCAAATCTTCAACAGAAATACATTGCAGAAAAGGTATTCGACCTTCTGAAGGTATGGCTACTCAATGTCATTCTAGACTTGATCTATTAGCTTCTTACCTGTTCAATTCAGTTTTCTCAACATTTCAACTACAAAAGCTCATTGCTGCTGCTGTGCTTCTAATGCATTGTTAGTTTGTACAGTACTAAACCTTTTTCACGATTGGCATTCTTAGTGTTATAAAATATCTCACGACTCGCAAGCAATGGTTTTATTCTGTTAGACCTTTGCTTACACACTTCTGTGATGCAAACAGGAAGCCTGGAACAAATTCAACTCAGAAGAACTCTTCTAACATCTTGTTTAGGAAACATGTTGATCATTTATATATTGCAAAACAAGTATTGGGAAGGACAGAAAGGCAAGCTATGGTAGATATTTTATTCTTTTTCTTTTCTATTATATATAGTTTTGTCGTGTCTGTCTTATTTCCTTGTTACCGATTTCTTGCTCACCTTATTTATCGACATCTGTACCTTTATTTTTGTCATGTAACTTTGTACATGTTCCGTGGGTAGTGTAAGTAAACCTGTACTTGTAGAGAAACAATCCTGTAAATAGCAAGCGGAAAATTCCATTTTTGACAATAGCATTTACGCGGAGATTGCTTGACTTCCTTGGGTAAATGTATATCCACTAGTGCAGGGCGCGCACCTGCGGGTACAGATGTGAAGAATGAACATTGAGATAGTTGATGCATATGCACTGCAGTTTTGGAAAGGTCTGCTGGTCCTGTCTGGAAATACATTACATACGCTGTTTATGTGCAGGAAGAGCGGTGCTTAATATATATACTATACATGTTGGTTAGATAATACAACAACAACAACATAGCATTTCAGTCCCAAGTAAGTTAGGGTAGGCTAGAGTTAAAGCCCACCAAGAGCCCTAAGTCACGGTTCAGACACTTTAATAGCTACTTTCTAAGTATTCCTATTCAAACATAGATCTTTAGGTATATCCTGACCTTTCAAATATCTTTTTATTGTCTTCCCCCATATCAATTTCGGTCTTCCTCTACCTCTCCTTATATTATTAGCTTGGTTTAGGACTTCACAATTCACTGGTGCCTCTGGATGTCTCCTTTGAACATGGTCAAACCACCTCAACCGATGTTGGACGGTGCACCTTAAGACTCCTATTCACCTTAATATATATACTATACATGTTGGTTAGATGGAGCGAAATATATTATACATGGCGATATTCTGCCTGGTGCGGGCGTGTTGGAGTAACATGACGATTGGATAGGCGGTGCATGGCCTACACGAGCTATAAGTACAGAAAACGAGTAGAGAATGTTCAACCTAGCACATTTTTGGATAAACAGGCATACAAGTTCTTGATAGGAATAGACGGTTCTAGGTAACCAACGGTAATTGAAGGTACGATAGCCTGGCTAATATACAGACAACAGGCCTAGGAGCAGGTTTCATCCTTCTTTGTACAGGAGAACCTTTTGTCGGGATGCTCCATAACCCTTCATAGTTTGAGGAGTCTGACACGCTTAGCAAATGTTATGCATGCTGCATTTGTGAAGCTTAATCCTGCGCATGTCACAAAATGGCGATGTCAGCGCCTTGTTGATTGTCTTTACCTGGTTGAAGAAACAATGTATCGAATCAATAAATGATTATCTTGGAATAGAATGGTTGCAGTGAAGGAAAGGGTAATTTAGGTTTTTAATCATGAGGATGCGGGACATATCACACACTATGGTTTTTGGGAAGGTAAAATTTAGCTATGCATGTGAATTAACGCATGTTACGGCAGCTAAATGGAGGATTAAATCAAACAGACAATGGTCAAGTGATAGAGGCACATAGAACCGACACACCGCACCCGGGGGTGGGTTTGTGTGACATTGCATTTTTTAAGAAATGTAAAATGTCGTTAAAGTAAAGATCATGTAGCACCTTTGATACTGGGTAGGCGTCTGCATCATGGAACAATTTCCTGCATGTATACCAGAGGTTTAAAAGGGAGTCTAAAAACAGTTGTTGTGCTGAACCGATTGGCAGAATGTTATTTGATAATTCCAAAATGCAGCAGATTAGTGGCTGAGGATAAGACTCTGTGCAAGACTGAGCAGGCACGTAATATTTACCTATTCTGGAGCCTGAGTCAAAGAGGCCTTGTAGGCACTGTCATTTGTCTGATGCGTGGAGCCATCGGTTCCAGCTCTGTGTTTTGTATGCATACGTTTATGTTAAATTTATGTATTTGGATGAAATGTCATAAATGTTTGTACCTGTAAATGTACCTCTTTGCTCTCTGCTGGAATATTAAATCAGATGTAGTGTCCTGGTCAGCTTATGCAGCTGTTTCGGTGCCCAAATTTTCATCCACCGTAATTTCCTGGAGATCAAAGGCAAAGTGATGTAGCAGGTTTTCAGATGGCAAAGTACATGGAAATGAGAAAGCAGCAGTTTTGTAGGCATAGGTTGATGAGGCACGGGGTGGGGCAAGTTATATGAAGGTACCTCTGCAGCATCAGTTATGTCATGAAACAGTTGCCTGCGAGTCTGTGTCGCTCGTGCTGACGATGTAGTTCGAATTGGAAGGACAAGAGATCCCAAAAACCAACATAGAAGGGTGAGTAAGTGAAAGTTGATTGATTGATTTTGGGATATCAATGTGACTTACCCACTGGTAAGATTCAAGGGTGTCTGATTAGGGTCAATGCTGGATGAGGTGTCTGCACATGGAACCATAAAGCAAGTTTACACACAGATAGGAAAATGCGAGAAAGTGTGCAGAGATTTTAAAGGCCAGTGCAACATACCGAAAGAATAGTAGGGTCGATGTCTTAAACTTTGGGTTTGAGCTTATGGAGCCCGTGCGATATCAGGTGAGGCTCCTGTTACTGCAAGACTGGAGCAATCTGTGTGGCGGCGAACACCAATTTCTTGGAATGATTTGTTGATAAGCCATGGCTGATAAGCCATGCTGGATGAGGTGACTGCCTTGTTCGTTTGGCTGATAAGCCATGGCTGAAAGTACTGTTGGCTGATTTGTTATGAGAGAAAAATATTGTTCGTTGGCTGAAAAAGTACGGCTTATAAGCCAAGCGAACAGGGAATGCTTTGAGTGGCTGAGGGAGCCCACTTGTTAGTTTCAACGGATTTAAAATCGCATTGCAGTCGCGTTGAACAACTCGCCTTGCTATGTAATCGTGTGCAAAGAAACTCCCGTCAGCTGTCTCGTCCTTGGCAATGAAGGATAGCATGTATCTGTATAGTTTAGAATAAAAATTGTTAACAGCACATTATGGTCGATGGTTGGTTATCTGGTATGCAAATTCGCTCTGTGCGCATATGAATAATAATTATTACCTTGCGAATGCCATGGCATTTTGGGCACTTGTATCCACCACCAGGCTGGTCATCTGATTTTTTCTTGCACCCTTTGCACGATATGGACCACCAGTTGTTCTCGGGTATGTATGTAACAGTGACAGTGCAGTTGTAGCCTTCATCCTGTGATAACAGAAAGATGCAGCTCAGAAGAAGACACAAAGTTTGTTTGCAGGTGTTTGATAGTGATGCTGACTGTAAACTTGCTGTTTAAAAAAAGAGGGCGAACTGTAACGTGAAATCATATGGGTCTATACTATTGAGCTCAGCAAGGTGTTTTTGTTGGAGCGGAGCAGCCTACATAGTTTAGTAGGTTTCTTGTTCAGATGTCAGAGACCGTTCTATCTGAACTTGTTCATAATAGAGGAAGATAAATATTTTGCCATAACGGCTTGCTAAACCTACTGATCAGCATGCACTAATTTAGGCATAGATAGAAAAACCTGTAAATGCACTAATCATAGTACTAAAATATATCAGGCACTGACAATTCTACACTCACTCCATATATATGCAAAAGAGAATCATTAAGTTTGACATCCATGAAGAGCAACCAACACAGTGAAAACTGGGAACACAGGGTAGAAACTGAAGATGCAGATGCGCGAGGAAAGGAAAGGAGGCTAACTGACTATGGTACTAAGACAAGAGCATGCCCTTTTTTTCTAATTGATGTGCAAATTAATCTACCAAAGACCAATGCCTTTTAAATCTGTCCACAAGACCTCAAATTTAATTATCCATGCTCAACAAAGATGGTATAACAATCTTATAGGAACTGCTTACCAAATCAATATCATATTGCTTCAGCAATTCTAACTCTAAAAATATATGCAAAAAGATGATTGTTCGTCTTGTCATCAAGAATCCAACATACAGGAAAGGCAGGAGTGGGTGGCCCGATTCTCAAAGAGATGGTGACAGAAGATCGATAGAGTGCAGCAACAGGGACTAAATCCGCATCGCCACTCACTCTACCAGAAGCCAACAAAGATGAGCACACGATATAGTCCTGAAGCTGTTTTTATGTGTAAGTACTACCCAGCAAGATTTTGCAAGATAACCTTAAGAGACATTTCATGAAGCAATCCACAACAATAAAATGTAATATAAGCAATCGCTGTGAGAGCACACAGCTCTACATGTTACTAAGGGAGGCCATGACCCACTATGGTGTACCCGTGGAATCACCATTGATCTATTTAACATTAGGCCATAAGCGGAACAACCGATAAGCCATAAGGGGAATTAGATAACTCACATTATATGGAACATAGAAAAGTTCATGATGCCAGTCAAGACTACTTGTAGTTGCCTTTTCTTCTTTGGAACCTAAAACACTCCCCCACAATCACTATATGTGGTCGCCTTGTTCGGAGATCTGAAACTAAAAATTGCTATAATGTCACATTTATTTATTGACGAAGCCGTAACAAAATGACAAGTAAATTAGTAAAAAAATATTAGTATCAGACTGAGTTACCTTGATAAACATTGGCATGTCTTTAAATTCTTTCGCTTCGTATACTGAAGCATCAATGCCATCATATCTAGTGTTGTCATTCTTCATCTCGATATTATGCACGACCGCGTTGAAATAGAGTAGTGATGTTATTATTGTTTCTTTAAAAATGATATGAGATTGCAGTTTGAGCTAGTGTTTGCAGTAGCCTGAAATGGTCATTCAAATCACTTCAATCATATGAAAGCACAAATGGCTAAACCTGAATCTGTTCAAATAGAAAATTTGAAAATTAGTGAGAATAGAGGAAGGACCGAAGGACAATCATATGATTTCCATTTTAATTCGCTGCTGAAAATAAATTAAGAGTTCATGGATTAATCTGTTGAAATTGCAAGTTTGAAAATGAGTGACAACAGAGGAAGGACAATCATATGGTTTCCACTTTAATTCGCTGCTGAAAACAAATTAAGAGTT